TTCTCCTTTGTTACAGAGGCTCCGCTCCCCGGTGTCAAGACATTCATGGTAACCAAGTGGAGATCTTCGGCTTGAGCATCGAGGAGCAAGGGCATATTTGACTTGTGGGTATGTGCATGTTTAGGTTCACGCATTCATGAATGTACCCTCGCGCGCTCGTTGATATTACTACTCCATCGTTCAACATAGCAGCTCCGCAAGCCACGTTGCAAAGTCGGGCTGGCGATGCCACACTTGTCGACTGATACACCTGTACATACATGACGCGGACATCAGAGGTCCCTATTTACATATCTCAGAAATCCCGTGTATAACACTGCCTCCAGTCTCATATCGTTGGGTGAAAGCATCGCGCTTTGATACTGCTGGCCATCAGAACCACAGAGCTGTCCCTCCCTATCTCGGTACCCTGCCCCAAAACCATGAAATCCACTCACACAACCACGACAAGATACACCATCTACCCCTTAACAACCTCCCCCAACGCCAGCCAACCGGCCTTCTCCCACGGCGCAACCATCACCGCCTTCTGCGCATCCATAGCGCGCCCCGTCCCAGCATACGCCCTCGCCAGATCCCCCGCCGCGAGATCCCCCCTCGGCGGCACAGCCTTCAGCGCAACCCTCAGCGCCATCTCCGCCGCGCTCTGCCCCTCCTCACCAGCGCCCAGCCCGCCCAGCTCCGACCACCCGTGCGGCAGGTGCGGGTGGAACATGACATCGGCGCGGGCCTGGTTGGCCTTGGCCTTCTCCGGGTCGTCGCCATCGCCATCGCCGCCCTGCCCAAACGCCGCAATCGCGCGCAGCACCTCACCCAGCTGCCGCTGATCAGCGGGCGAGACGCCCTCGTCGCTGGCACGCAGACTCTGCAGCTCGGCGACGACCGCCTCCAGACTCTCCTCATCCGCATCTAGAAGCGGCGATCACGCCCAGCAGCAGAACGGACTGCACGTGGTGGGGGCGCGCGGTCGATGACGTCGAAGAGGGACCTCGTCGTGCGCTGCTCGCGGGGCGGCGTCCTTGCCCGTGGGCCCACAGGAACCTGGGCCAAAACACAAGCGACATCCGGGTTGCCGTCGGACTCGGCGATGGCGGCGTCGAAGCAGGCGACGGCGTCGTCGACGGCGCCTTGGTAGTAGCGCGCCAGGCCCATGGTGACGTGCGCGCTCAGCCGCACGCGCCGGCGCTCCTCGGGGGTGAGTTCGCTGTCGGCTTCGTCGCTGCTGAGTTGGACGGCGAGCTCGGCGGCTTCGGCGGCCTCGGCGTGGGAGCCGGTCGCGAGGTGGGCGCGCGCGAGGTCGGCTTTGGCGATGGCGAAGCGCTTGAGGGATTCTGGAGACTCGGTGACTTCGTAGTCGGACTCGACGGCCGCGCAGATCTTCTCGAGCGTTGAGACTGCGCGGTCGTGCTCGTGGTTGCGTTCCTGGAAGAGGGCTGAGAGGTGGCCGTAGGCGAGCTCCTGTGGGTTGAGGCCCTGCAGCTGGCTGAGCGCGAGGATGGGTTGGATTAGTGACGTGACGGGCAGGTCGGCGGGCGACTCCATGATGTAGTCAAACATGGACACGGAAAAGTGCCGCCGGCTTGCTGCAGATGAGCTCTCGGCGATGTCCATGGCGTGCGTGAACAGGCCTCGCGCTTCCTTCTGATCGCCGAGCAGCAGAGCCACCAAGCCTTGTCCCAACCACGCGTGTGCAAAATCAGGATCGGACGACTGCGCTTTCGTAAAGGCGTCGTTCGCAAACTGAATATCACCCTGGATCAGAGCTAGCGTTCCCAGGTTTGTCCAGGTATGCGCGCCGCGCTCGTTCAGATGGAGGCTGCGGACAAATGCGTGCTGCGAAACGGAGGGGTTGACGCCACTGGTCACGACTCCGAGAGCGTTCCAGAACTCCGAATTGCCTGCCTCGAGCTCGATGGCCCGCTTGAAGCACGCGATCGATTCCTTCAAGTACTTGGTAGCTTTCTTTCTCAGCCGCAGGGGCAAACACATGTGCGCGCGGTGTTCCGCCCAGCCGAGGTTGTAATATGTGACTGACTGGGCATGCAGGTCGTTGGCAGAAACTTGGATAGCACGCTTGTGGGCGAGGATCGTGGCATGTAAAACCTTTGCTAGCTCGCTCCCAATCTTGCCCTCGTCCGAGTTGACGCCGTTGCTGGCGGCTCCAACTCCATTGCTGGCGGCTCCAACTCCATTGCTGGCGGCTCCAACTCCATTGCTGGCGGCTCCAGCTCCATTTACCGCAGCGGCATCTAAAGCCTCGGTACCAAACAGTTGCTGGACGGTGTCCAGCGGGAACTCTGACAAACGACCTTGGACGCTCGAAAAGAGCGAGCAAGCATCGGCCACAGCCTTCCAAAAGTTAAACGTCCCCTTAATTTCTTCCGGAGCTTGCACTGCGAAGTTGAGCGTCTCCACGGCAAGGTCAATAGACTTGCCAAAGAAGCCCTTGTCCAAGCTGTCCAAGGCATTGTCCACGGTGGCTTGCATCAGGGAGATGGCCGCACCTGCTTCGTCCGGGCGGCCGGCGACTACCTCGCGGTAGAGGTTAATAGCCTCATCAAAATCGCCTAGCTCGCGGTTGACATCAGCAAGGATGAGCTTGGAGAACCACGTTTCCCCAGAAATATTCCCGTCCGCAGCCTCTTCCAGCTTTTGCGCGTTGAGGATGGCCTTTGTGGCGGCGATGTAGCGCCCAGACCCGTGGTAACTCTCGCCCAGCCCGACCCACGAGTGGTAGTCATCCGGTCCTATCCGGAGGGCTGCCTGAAATGAAACGATGGCCTTGCGGTAATCTTGTTTGTTGAGTTCCGCCACACCCAGGGCGGCAAAGGGCCAGCTGATGCCCTTGCGCTTCGAGCCCGGCGGCGGCTTGACCTTGCCCGAGTCAACCACTCTCTGTGCAACAAGCTCGACGCGGTCCCAATCCCCGTCATCTGCAAAAGACCTAGCAAGTCTCTCGGCCGATTCGACCTCAGACGCCGAGAGCTCGACCGCCTTTTGAAAGCACCTGCGGGCCCTCTTCTTATCTTTGGCATAATCCGCGTAATACTTTCCCAGGCTGGTGTAGGCAGGTGCGTAGTTGAGGTTGCTCTTAAGGGCGTCGAGGAAATAAGCATAGGCGCCCGACCGGCTCTTCCTCGCCGCCTTTGACGTATCGATATTCCAGATGCAGTAACCGACGCGGTACTGGGTCTGCGCGAGGAGCTCTTTGTTTGTATGTCCCTTCTTCGTAAGAAGCGGGAGGCAAACTTCCAGCTCGGCTCGGCTGATGTCAAAGTCCCCTTTCAACGCCTTGACCCAGGCAGCCTCCGTCCTGACGCGAAGGTTTTCGGGGTCGCGCTGTAGGGCACGCTCCAGGAAGTCGATTGCCTCGACATACTCTTCTTCTTCCTCGTAAATCAAGCCCACACCAATCATGGCACCCGTAGATGACGGATCATGGGCCAGAACTCCATCAAACAAAGTCTTGGCTTCCTGATGATTGCGCGGCGATTGGTAAAATACCAGCGCTGTCCCCAGATACAGAGAAAAGGCGTCCTCGGTGTTTCGGAACACCAACCCGGTCTTGGAGCGCTCCGCCTTGAGGTGGTCAAGGGCCTTGCGCATGAGCTCGACGTTGCTCTCATGCTCTTCAAGATACTGATAGTATTCACCGGCTAACCTAAGTGCGAACAGCGAGTCGGCGTTGCTGATGCCTTCCATAATCATCAACAGGCGATCCTCCTCGGTGAGCGGGACGTATGTCGTCGGTGCGCCTCCTGCCTCGTCGTCCTCGCTCTCCTCTTCGCTTTCCGCGCCGGTAGGAGCCTCGGGTGTCGGTGTGGGCTCCTTGGGGAATGGGGAGATGGCGCTTGTGAGGAAGCCCATGATGACCCTGTTGAGGTCGCTGTCGGGAAAGAAGGTGCAGTATTGGCGGAGCACGGTGACATCCCAATCCGCAATATTCTTGTGGTCTTGCCAATTGATGGCAATATCCCACGCGAATTTGTATGGGTTGTTGATGATGACCATGTCGTTTGCGAGCTTCTGGACGATAGCTGCCTCACGTTCCTTCTGCTCGCCTGGAGGCCACGCAACAAGCCGGTCGTAACAGTACTGCAGAAGCTTTTCCTCGTACGCTCGACGGATTTCGTCATCGGTGGCCCAATTTATTATCTGCCCGTAGACGTAGCCCAGCCTACTCTGGGCGTAGACCTCGCGTTTCACCTCAAGCGTTACTTCGCTAACCCGGGCGCCAATCCGGGTGCGCCGCTCGCCGATGAGAGTATTGATTCGCTTCTTTTCCTCCATCTCGACAATCTCGGCCTGGATGTGATACGTCTTGGCCGGGTGTGGGACACGGCCCTCCAGGGCTGGGTAGATGGGACTCTCCGGTAGGATTAGATCCAGCGCGTCCACATACTGAGCTCGCTCGCCCTGCGTCCGTGCCTGGTCGATGAACTTATCAACCACATCCTGGCATTTGTACATTTCGTTGGCATCTCGAAAGATCTCGGCCAGCTTAAGAGCGGCGCGCTGATACTGCTTCAGCTTCTTGCCCCGTTGCCGGTCGTATAGTTTTATGAGACCCTGCCAGGCCTGCGGGTCATTGGGTTTGAACCTGGTCGCAGCAAGGTATGCAGTCTCTGCCTCATCAAGCTTGTTCACCTTGTCCAGGGCAAAGGCGAGAAAGACGTGTCTGAAAGGATGTCAGCCTTTCCGGTTGAGTATTTACCAGCCCAGCCCGCGTGTACCTACGCCTGGTAGTTTTTGGGATCTTTCTGGAAGACCTCCTCCGCCGCTTCGATGGCCTCGTCCCATTTCCGCTGCTTAATTGCTTCGTTAATGCCCTTAAGCAGGGCTTTGGTGCCCGACATGGCGTTGGTCTACGGATGGGATTAGTATCCCTTTGGCATAGATCCAGCCGGAATTTGAGATGGCGGAGTGTTGAATAAGGAGGCGCAGGTTTATAAAAGATCGACGGTGTGTGGTGAATGAGTGGATGCTTGGAGTCGTGAGCTTGTGAGCTTGAATTGAACTTGAAGGTGGGGTTGTGTACATCCGTATTCGTTATTCGACTTTCGACCTGGCTTCAAAACTTCAGATGCGATGAATGCGATTGGAGAGAATTAAGACAAAGACAGAAAAAGTAAAATCCCCAAACGAGAATTCTCAATCTCTAACACTTGATAGTTACTCAGTTTTATAACTGAGCACCAAGAATGATGACAGTGTTGGCTTTTGGATGTGAAAGCGAACCTCACACTCTGCTGTGCAAGCTGTGGAGCATCAATTCATGTGCATGGTTCAAGGATTCCAGGGGTCTCGCCACCCCGCCGGACGTCAAGTCTCCGAGCCTCCGGCAGGCCCCCGGCAGCCCCCGGCAATGTCTTATCGCTCAAAGCATGGAGCCTTATCGCAAAAAATCCCCAGAAAAAGTCGCGACGGCGTTCTTCTGCTAGAAGCTGCGAGTCTTCATGCGCCTTGCATCGTTCAGCATCATCCCCCTTCGCAACAATGGATTCGGCCCCGACAAAACGGCGAAAGCTTGACCACACGCAGGATGGCGCAGAGCTGGCCTTGGAATCAGCTGCTTCAACAGGCGTTTCCAGGTCCAGGGCATTCATTCTCGAGGCCGAGGAGCTATTAGACTCTGTGCGCCTGGACTACGGGATTGCTCTCGAGGGTGCCGACAGTCTTTTGCATCGCATTAAAGGTGTAATTGAGGGTATAAAGGCCCACGATGCACTGCCGGTAGGAGATTTACATTGGACGACGTCTTAACGGGACTTGCGCCTGCTAACTTGCACCAGCTCGTCCAAGCCGCATCCAAGCTCGAGAAGAAGCACAAGATCAAAGTCCCCTTCCCCGACCCGCGTCCCCAAGAGAATTCCAACTACAAGGTCGCCTTCTCAAAACCCGCCCAGTTCAACGTTGTTGGCAGCTATGTCTCTAAGACTATGGTCAAGTCACAAAAAGACTACGCCGTTGACATGGTCATTGTCCTCCCCGAGGAGATCCTACAGGAGAAGGACTATCTTGACCTACGCTATTTTTACAAGAGGGCATATTATCTAGCCGTTGTTGCCGCCGCTCTACGGAAGGAATTCGAAAGCGAGGCCCAGCTGTCCTACGAGCACCTCAACGGCAACCCCCTCTGCCCCGTCCTCGCGATCCAGCCGAATGCTCCCAAAACAGAAGAATCAGCAAACCCGGGAAGTAAGGGTACCCTGGACTTTAGGATACGGATTCTTCCATGCGCACCTGACGGGTTCTTTCCGAAGATAAAGCTCCATTTGGGCGCCAATCTGGTTCGCAAGAACCGCGATGATGACTCGAAACCATCTCTCAAGCCCACATCATTTTATAACTCGACAGTCGTTGCAGAGAGCTGCTACTTGCCGTACCTCAAGGTCTTACGGCAGGCCGAGAAGAGATGCGCGGCCTTCAAAAACACCTGCATCCTGGGCCGCATCTGGTTGCAGCAAAGAGGCTTTGGAGGGGATATTTCGCAAGGCGGCTTTGGCCATTTTGAGTGGGCGGTGCTTCTAGCTCTCCTCCTCCAGGGGGGCGAGAGCAAAGGCCATGCTGCTCTGCCTTCGTCCCTCAGTAGCACCCAGCTTTTCAAGGCCGTGGTCCAGTTCCTCTCGGTGACTAATTTTGCGGAGAAGCCTTGCGTGTTCGGTCAGGGAAGCCCAGATCTGGAATCACATTCCGAAACCACCCCCATCCTTTACGATTCCGCAAGACAACTTAATCTTGCTTTCAAGATGGGGCCTTGGTCGGGCGCGCTGCTTCATCGACACGCTAAATGGACCCGGAGCTTACTCTCCGATAGCACCGCTGATCAGTTCAACCCTACCTTCATCCTCAAGACAGACGTCTCATTGCACAGCTTCGACCTGATTGCGCGGCTGAATATCGATGGGGCACTAAAGGAAACAAGCGCAGATTCCCGGGGACCAGCATGGGAGGCCGGCAGCAAAGTCTACCGGACCTTGAAAAGGGCACTAGTAGACAAGGAAATGGGAGAAAGAGCTCGCCTGATCCACCTTCGGACTTCAGCTCACCAACCATGGCCTTTGGCGGCGGAGCCCAAGCCTCGAAGCAAATCGCCGCTGGAGGTCGGCATTCTTTTTGACCCCGTCAACATGGCACGGACGGTCGACCGTGGCCCGTCTGCCGGACCAAGCGCTGAAGAAAAGGAAGAGTGCGAAGAGTTCCGCAAGTTCTGGGGTGAAAAGTCTGAGCTCAGACGCTTCGAACGCGACACTATCCGAGAGACACTGATTTGGGCCTCAACGACTCCTTTTGACCTGTGTGAGGAAATCCTGCGATACGTCCTCGGCCGTCACCTGCGCATTGGGCAGCTTCACAATGAGATCGCCGTTTATGGTGATGGGTTACCCGACCTACTCTCCCTAAAACCCGCCGACTCTGCCTTGTTCAACGTGGCCAAGAAGGCGTTCGGTGCCTTCGAGCGCGATATTCGGGACCTGGAGGACCTACCCCTCCGTGTCAGCAGATAGCTCCCATATGTCCAGAGCTCCGCCAGACATCGGTCAGGCCACCGACTTTCGGATCGTCGAAATCGGGGCCCCGGCCATTGGAGTGCGTCATTTCATTCGAGGCGTCCGGCAAGTGGCCGGAAAGCCTTGCCGCTATCCAACGGACCAAGATTGCTTTCCTTCTGATGATCGGCAGTCTCCTGGAAAACAGCAAGCCCGGGGAGATTAAGACACACGTCGGGCTTGAAGACTCCAAATACGAAATCGAGAATCTCGCCTTCCTGGACATTATCTACGAATCCGGCCCGTCGTTCCGTCTACGGATACATAGCGATTTGGAGGAGGCGCTGCTGGAACGTCAAGTCAAGGACAAGACGGCGGAGCAGTATCTTCGGCAACGGGCCACGACCCTCCTCGCGACATTTAGGCGGTTGTACACCAACCTGCCGTTACACAACCAATACATTTCCACCTGCGCCACACGCTTCCCAGCCTTGTCCCCGACCATTCGTCTCGTAAAGCACTGGTTCAACGCTCACAAGTTATCATATCACTTCACCGAGGAATTCATCGAGCTCGCAGCCCTCCATGTGTTCCTTACGCCATACCCCTGGGACGCCCCCACCAGCGCTAGCAGCGGCTTCATGCGCACGTTATTGTTCCTCTCCCACTGGGACTGGCGCTCGGAACCCCTCATCCTCGACACGAGCGCCGAGATGACATCCTCAGAACGGACCTCGATCGCGACCCGTCTCGAAGCCTGGCGTAAGATCGACCCCAACATGAACCACACCGTCCTCCTCGTCGCCACGTCCCAGGAGCCCAGCGGAGTCGCCTGGACCACGGTCGACGGCCAGGCGAAGCCCTCCAAGGTGGTCGCGGCACGGATGACGTCCCTCGCAAAGAGCGCGTCCCGGCTCATTAGGGAGCAGGGCGTGGAGCTCGACTGCCGGCGCTTGTTCGTACCATCACTCAAGGAGTACGACGTGCTCATCCACCTGAACAGTAAGGCGCTGAAGGGCACGCTGAAGACGTACGCCACGATCGACCCCGAGCAGGAGGACGAGGAGGACGCCGGCCGACCCAAGTTCAAGAACCTCGACGAGCGGACCGGCCAGGACCCGCTGCCCCTGGCGCAGCACCCCGCCGAGCTGTTCCTGCAGCATCTGAGCGCGGCGTATGGCGGGCCGCTGGTTTTCTTCCGTGGCGCGGTGGAGGACAACACCATCGGGGCGATCTGGAACCCTCAGATGCAGAGGCGGACTTTCAGGGTGAATCTACCGACTTCGTACAAACCTGCTGGTGGGAAGAAGCGGGCGAAAGGGGATGAGGATGAGGATGAAGAGGCAGAGCTGGTGGATGTCAATAGGGACGCGATTTTGTCGGAGATTGCGAGGATAGGAGCGGATTTGGTTGAACGGGTTGAAGTGAAAGGCGCATAAGAGGTTGTTGTTTGAAGCAAGCGTGTAGGAAGATTACAATGATCACTCCTGAATACTGTCACAATCATTATCTTGCTGGCACATCTCAATGCAATGGGTCATGGGTGAATTCCATTCCTGGTGACATTCACCAGAATGTCTAGGATATGATCATGTTTCTTCCTAACCTCGTATCTCGTTTAAGACAATTATTCCATCCAGTCAATACTCCTAAGCTTTGGGGGCGGCATAGATGTCGCGCCCCAGTGTCTAGTGGTTCATCGAAAGGCACAGCTAGTGGACCATGGCCTCCTGCTTGTGGACCGTGGGCTCGGGCTTGTCGACCTCCATCTCGTCGCCCTCAGCGGCCTCGCCGCCCTCCTGGTCGACAACCTCATACTCTTCCAGCAGCTCATCCTCACTCTCACCCTCAATATCAACGCTGCCATCGTCAGAGAGCTCGTCGTCCTCCGCCACGTTCTCGCCCTCGCCGTCGGGGCCCTCAACACCCTCCATCTGCGCGTCCTTATCGGCGGATTCCTCCCCGTGTGCCCTCGACTGCCTCGGTCTCCTCCTCTTCGGCAAGCTCTTCGGCGCCGTACTCGTCCTCGTCAGCGACGAGGTCAGCCTCGGGCTGCTCGGATGGGAATTCGGCGCGGGCAGAAGCCTCCGAATCACTGTGCGGTATCGTTAGTGTCTAAATCAACCCAACAAGGTACCAAAAACAGGCAACAACAACAACGTACCACTTGATGGCGAACCTAGTCACGCGAGGCTTGTTGGCAAGAACATTACGGCGAATCTTCTCGACGTCGGGCTTAGCGGGCGGCTCGTCACGGAGCTCGTCGCTCTCGTACTCGTTGTTGACATAATAGCCGACGCGTACGAACTCGCGCCCGTCGTAGGCGCAGGTGAGCAGGATCACCGTGACGCCGAGCAGCTCGTCGATGGGGATGCGCTTGGTGTCGGGCGGGTCCGCCTCGAACACGAACTTGTTGATGCCCACGGGGATCGGCCCGACCAGCAGCGAGTCCAACTCCTGGTCGTAGTTGTCCGACTGCGCCGAGCCGACATACGTGAGCTTCCACTCGAGGTCTGTGGGCGGTGTGGGGGAACCAGGTTAGTATTGTTCCTGGAGACGTTTTTATTGTTTCGTGATACGATGCTAGGTGCCTAGCTAGGGAGGGATGATGGGTGGGTGAGGGAAGCGGTGAGAACGAACCTTTTTGGAGCGGCTCTAGACACTCGAAAGTGATCTCGAACTCATACTTGTCGGTAAACTTGGCGGGGTTGTTGATCACATTGACCCCGAGGAGGGAGACGACAGACATCTTGGTGGTGGGGTGATGATGTTTTATCGAATGACAGTCAATAGATCAAGAATTTTATTGAAGATTGGTTGTTGCAAAAAAAAAAGTTGCAGTTGCAAAGGCTATTCGGGAGCTCAAGCAGTTGAGGGAGCGAAAAGACGGTGGTACCAACAGTAAAGAAAGGCGGTGTTTGGAGAAAGCGCTAATGCCTAACTAAGGGAAAGGCGTGTTTTGTTTTGCCCCTTCCCGCTCAAAAATGGGCCTGGCGGCTTTTGAGGGGTTGCTGAGCAAAGTGGACGACTTTTTGGGGCCTTTTCATGCTTGTGGAAGTTCAGGTCTGTCACGGTCTGGCAGGTGCAGGGGGGTCGGGTCGCGTAAATTGAACGCAGCCCAGAACGCGTTGCTGGGCGCCCGACTTCTGTGGAGACCCACATCGAGAATTTGGGCCGCTCCTGAGTTACTGTGGAAAGATGTGGGCTGGACACAATCATAATCCTTTGTACGCCGCCTCACCTGAGCCACATCACTTGCTTGTTCAGGTCCACCTAGAGCTGGCTGGCTGGCTCGATCTCGTTTTTCTTCGAACCTCGAATCCGCTGAGAATTGCACCAGCGAACCACAATAATTAGCATCGCCGGCCTTTGAATAGGCACCGACCGTGCAATAGTGGATAATATTCCCACAATCTATTCAACACACCATTGCAATTATCACGATTGCTCCTAGGTTTCTTTGTTGTGTGCACGGATCTTTATTCCACCGCAGCATGCCGCAATCGCATTCCCCTTCAGGCTTTGACTAGAACAGTGTTCCGGAATCACGAGACACCAATTCCAGCGAGCATTCCTTGCATTGCACCACCTATACCTACGACTCGACTCTTATATCCGACTCTCACTCACCGCATCAATCTTCCAGCATTGATTGATTACCAGCTTCACGATAGGATCTCGGCGCTCGACCTCCCTCCCCTTCGCGACGATTGACCCTCAATCCCCGATACCCCGATACCGACAACAATCATACCATCGCAGACGGTTCCTTTAATCAGGTGTGGCTCTCCTGTCTTGAGGCATCTGCACGACGCCCCGCCTCTCGCGACCGAGCCAATCTACCTCTCAAGACACAGTCTTTTCACACAATGGCTGGATTACGCCCCGGCTCATCAGAACCGGTGCGTGGGATGAGAAATGGGGGCCTATGAGGTGACCAGATGGAAGCAGCCATTCAAGAGAATATTCCGCAGCATAAGCACGGATTCAAGATGAAGCAGAGTTATTCCGTTGATTCAGCCCAAACATGCTCCCGGTGACGTCCCAATCTCCTGATGGTGCCACCGAATGATGTGGGTGACTACGATCCAGCATCGGTCACAGCCGCACCAGCTCCTGGTACAACGCTTCCAGCGGCTGCGGATCAGGTCCCCATCAGGCCTTCGCCCCAGCGCGCCGCCAAGCAGAAGCCGCGGACGGCAGGAGGCTTCCTAGTGGGAGACTCTGATTCTGAAGATGATGAAGAGGCACATGAGGCGCCGGTTCTTGCATCGGGTGGTTATGCTCCAGCTGCTGCATTGCAGTCTTCTGTCCCACATGCCCCTCTCCAACAGAATCACATCACTGCCAAACAAGCTTCAACCGCCCCTTCCATTGCAGACCCTACTCCCCAGGTGAACGCCGATGTTCCTGCTGGCCAGCCGGAAAATGGCGACGCTGTTACAACTCCAGTTACGGTTAGCCCAGTCGCTGTTGACAGGATCACTCAGCTAGAGAGCCGGGTCAGCGAAGATTCTCGTGGCGCCATGGATGCGTGGCTGGCGCTGATCGCCGAATATCGGTCCAAGAATGACATCGAGCAGTCAAGACGGATCTACGATCGCTTTCTGACTGTCTTTCCCCAGGCTGTAAGTTCGAGAAACACAAGATATAGTATGCGACGCCGAGCTGACTTTTCTTTTTCCAGGCCGACGTATGGGCCGAGTATCTTTCAATGGAGCTTGACATGAATAATTTCCCCGAGGCCGAACTCATCTTCAACAAATCCCTGATGACAACGCTGAATGTGAACCTATGGACCAAATACCTGGACTACATCCGTCGGAGGAATGACCTCAACGACAGCAGTGGCAATGCCCGCCAGACTGTCTCACGCGCCTATGAATTCGTTATCGACAACATCGGCCTGGACAAGGATGCGGGCAGGATCTGGGCCGAGTACATTCAGTTCATCAAGTTCGGGCCTGGCACAGTCGGCGGGAGTCAATGGCAAGATCAGCAGAAGATGGATCAGTTGCGCAAGGCGTATCAGCGAGCCATCTGTGTGCCGATTGGCAACGTCAACACCCTGTGGAAGGAATACGACCAATTCGAGATGGGTCTCAACAAGTTGACTGGCCGGAAGTATTTGGCTGAGAAGTCACCTTCGTACATGTCAGCTAAGAGTGCGAACACGGCCCTCGATAACATCACCAGAGGTCTTCAGAGAACGACGCTCCCCCGTCTCCCGCCCGCTCCCGGTTTTGACGGCGACCAGGAGTACATGGAGCAAGTTGAGATCTGGAAGAAGTGGATCGCTTGGGAAAAGTCGGACCCTTTGGATCTCAAAGACGACAAAGACCAGCCTGGTCTCTACCAAAAGCGCATTCTTTTTGTTTACCACCAGGCCCTCATGGCCCTCCGGTTCTGGCCCGAGATGTGGGTTGATGCTGCCCAGTGGTGCTTCGACAACAACATCACATCCAAGGATGGCACCTCAACCGGCCTCGACTTCCTCACCAAAGGTATCGAGGCAAACCCCGAGAGCGTCTTGCTTGCCTTGAAGCATGGTGATTATATCGAATCTACTTACCCCATCGAGGAGAACGACGACGCGAAGATCGCCCGCGGAAAAGCCGTGCGCTCTCCCTATAACAGCGTCTTGGACACGCTTTACGGCATCGTCAAGAACCTCAAGGATCGTGAGACTGCCGAAATTGCCCGTATCGAAGAGGCTGCCAAGGCTTCGGGTGAAAGTTCCAGCAACAAGGCAGGTTACGACGACGACGATGAGGATGATGTTGAATCCTCAGACAAGGGTGCAAGAGACAGCAGGACCAACGACCAACTCCGGGCCATCAGGCAGGGGTTCGCGGCACAGACCCAGTTGCTGTCACGAACCATCTCATTCGTTTGGATTGCGTTGATCCGCGCGATGCGCCGTATTCAGGGCAAAGGCAAGCCGAACACAGAGCTCGGCGGTATGCGGCAGGCGTTTCAGGATGCGCGCCATCGTGGGCGCCTCACGAGCGACGTCTATGCGGCTGTCGCGCAGCTAGAGTGGACGATCTACAAGGACCCGGCAGGAGGCAAGATCTTTGACCGTGGTGCTAAACTGTTCCCCGAGGATGAGGGTTTTACGCTTGAGAACATCAAGTACCTCCATTCTCGTGATGACTTCACTAGTAAGCATTTGACCTCCCTCATTTCCCCGAATGCTAACTGACTTTTACAGATGCCCGTGTCCTCTTCGAGACGGTCGTCAACCGTCTGACACAGAAGCCTGAGCTTGTGCACAAAGCCAAGCCTCTCTATTCATACTTCCACAAGTACGAGTCACAGTTTGGTGAGCTTGCCCAGATTGCCAAGCTGGAGAAGCGGATGGCCGAGCTCTTCCCTGAGGACCCAAAGCTTGCTCACTTTACTGCGCGGTATTCGACCGATAAATTCGACCCCATCACTGCTCGGATCATTGTATCGCCTGTCACACAGCTCAGACCTAAACTCTTGATGCCGTCGATCGAGCAGGGTACCTCCCTCCAAAATTCACCTCGGCCACCACCATTTGCAACCCGTGCTAGTCCCGCGCCTCAGTTCTTGCCTGCAACAAACTCCCCCAAACGGCCATTGCCCGCTGATGACTTTGATGAGCCACCGCGCAAGATCCAGCGCAATGATTTTGGCGAGTTCCAGCGCGGTGCTTCGCCACTTAAGGGTGCCGCCGGCCGCCGCTTGGATCAGCAGCGCCGGATGCAGGGTCAGGGCGTGACCTCGTACACCACTACCCCGGCTCCCATTGCTCGGGATATCACATTCCTCATGGGCCAGATCCCCCGGGCGGATTTTTATGATTTCCAGCGTTTCGACCCGACCAAGGTGACCAACCTACTGCGCGAGACTGTAGTGCCCGATTACTCGGCGTGGAAGAACTCCCGCCAACCTTCGGACCATCCCAGCCAGTTCGGGGGCTACCAAAAACCGCGACTCCCCTGTCGCTATTGACAGACTGTTGAGCCCATATGTCGGAGTAGACGGAGCCTGCGGCCGCATGCCGCCTGCTTCCGCTGCCCCGTACAGACAAAGTTCTATGCGGCCGGGTTCCAGCGATTCATACGAGCCCCCTCCGGCGGTCTACGCCCAAGGCCCGCCCCCGCCTCAAACGGGATACGCCCAACCGCCGCCAATGCAGTACGATGGTGGTGCCGCCGGCGCCTGGCCGCCTTATCCGCCGCTTCCCACTGTGCAACAAGGCTATGGTGGTCCTCCGCCGCCGCACTTGTATGCCCAAGCGCAACCACCGCCCCAGGGAGGTTATTCCCGATATCCGCCGCCCCCTTACTAGGCGGCTCTCGTCTTGATTTCAACATGCCACACATCCTCTCGCCGATGATACCTGCTCGTGAGCTGGTTTCTCTATGGAACCCGACACAGGAAGGTCGCTCGGAGACCGAATTTTCCCACTTGTCACGGGCACGGCGCGTATAATCTGCGAGTTGTTTCCGGTTCTAGGTTTTCCTCGGGCCCAGCTGAACACACCACACCAGGAAGGTGTTCTAGGCGTTCTATTTTTCGACTAGCTTGGGATCGCTTAGCTTGTAATATTTATCATCTTTGCTGCTTCTCGATGGCTTGATGAGGGTAGCAGAGAGTTCTTTATATATGTAAAAGGAGGTTGGTAATTCTCTGGCTGGCTTCATCATGGTTGGTTTCGTGCACCTGGCGTTGGGAAAGATAGTCTTTGGGCGGTCACTGCTTATTCTGCCGGTTGAGCATTCGAGGCGTGTTAATGGGCATGAAACGGCTGTGGTCGACTTGTCTTAGCATAGTTAGTTACCTATAAAACAGCGAATGGAATGAGGAAGATTGACTTCTCTCACATACATGTCTTCTTACGCCCGAAAACGATCGCTTCGGGGGTTGTCTGTTCCGACTCAGTCATATTTCCTTATCTCTAATACTTTGATGGTTTGTGCTTGATAGAAAAAGGGAAGTCACTGAGTGAGTGTGTTATATGCCTAACTGATCCCCTGCGAGGTCATCACTGACTCTCCTCGAACCTGGTTTGCAACCGTCCTCACCAGCGGGAAGCAGCGTTTGATATCATTCCCTAACTAGTGAAGGTAGGCAATTGTTGCCATGGTTGGTGTCCGCCCACCGACATAGGTAGAGACGCAAAGCAAAGCAAACCGTTTTCGGAAATGGAAGCCACTAGTATTTGCCGTGCTTGACGAGAACAGAAAGGCTGTGAATAGGTACTTGCGCTACTTTCTTTACTTGTCCCATGAATCGATGCTTGTGTTCGACCCGGAATAAATATGTTGCCCGTGGCTCTGGGGTTAGACACCTCCTCCCTTCATGAATCTCCAGCCTAGTGGAAGCAAGATTCCCCGAGATTTCCCTCCCCCTACCACTTCCTCCATCCCATTTCTATTAACGCCGCCCTGCAAGATTTATCTAGGTAGCCCTAGCCTGGCTGTAAATACTCCCGGTCACCTGGGGTATAAATTCTTTGGCAGGCTACCCGATCTCCTCCTCTTTTCTTCCTCCCACTCCTTACACTCTCCATCCCCTTCGCTGGTATCAACCTACCTTCGGGTATTTTGAGCCCAGTTAGGTACTTGGTTCGTTACCTTCATCACTTATCAACAAGTACCTCAACCACATCGCAATCAAAAGGTAAGTCGTCAGATCCCATCACCTCACCCGCGTTACACTTTGCCCCTCTCCCTTGCCATCTACGGCGAGATATCGCAAACCAGCCCGCATTTGACCCCTTCTCGCAGCAGTTATCGGTATATTCCCCGATCCTTTGCCCTCTCACTCCTCCACACCTCCACATCATTAAAACGAGCGAACACATACACCTTCCCCAGAGCTCCAACCAAATCCCAAACCATAAAGTTGAGCCTAAACAGGGCCGGCTTGACTGGTACCATACCCCCGACATCACACAGTGGAGGGTTGTTCCTCCAAACCCTTTCCCTGTCCACATCCTTCGAACTTCATTTCCATTGAAAAAACGCCTTAACTCAAAGGCGGGTTCTTGGACCTACTTCTACCGTATGACGCACACACATTCTTCCTC